GACTCCAACTCAAAAAAAAAAAAAAAAAAAAAAGACTTTTAATGTCAGTATATGATTTGTTTTCTCTCATAAGAAATAAACTTGCAGATCTGGTAGGTGATGAACTACTGGTTTTTTCCAGTTTTTAAAAGGATAATTTTTGCGGGGGCTCACACCTATAATCCCAGCACTTTGAGACTGAGGTGAGAGAATTGCCTGAGCCCACGGGTTCGAGACCAGCCTGGGCAACTTGGCAAGACTTCATCTCTACAATAATAAAAAAAATCAGCTGGCTGTGGTGGCACATGCCTGTGGTTCCAGCTACTTGGAAGGCTGAGGTGAAAGGATCACCTGAGCCCAGCTGGTCAAAGCTGCAGTAACTGTAAGCATGCTACTACACTCCAGCCTGAATAATAGAGTGAGACTCCAACCCAAAAAATAAATAAATAAATAAAATAAAAGGCCAATTTGGAATAGATTGATTTCAGTTTACGTTACTTATAATTTCTCTGGAAATAATTCTGAAGTCTATACTTATAGCCTCATTCTTTTTTTTTTTTTTGAGTTGGAGTCTCAACTCTGTCGCCCAGACTGGAGTGCAGTGGCCACTCCCGGCCACCACAGCCTCGACCTGCTGGGGCTCCGGTGATCCTTCAGCCTCAGCCTTCCAAGTAGCTGGAACTACAGGCGTGGGCTACCATGCCCGGCTAATTTTTTGATTTATTGTAGAGATGAGGTCTCATCAAGTTGCCCAGGTGGGTCTTGAGCCCGCGGGCTCAGGCAGTTCACTCACCTCAGCCTCCCAAGGCGCGGGATTACAGGCTGAGCCACCGAGCCCGGCCTAGCCTCATTCTTATCCCAATTGCAATTGTATATCTCTAGCTGTTCACTAGATATTTGTTTGGAAGGCTTATCATTACCTCAAACTCAGCGTTTTTAAAAATTCAACTTAACCCCAGGCATGGTGGCTCACACCTAAAATCCCAGAACTTTGGGAGGCCAAGGTGAGAGGATTGCCTAAACCCACGGGTCCGAGATCAGCCTGGGTAACTTGTGGTGAGACCCCATCTCTACAATTAAAAAATTAGCCAGACATGGTGGCGTGTGCCTGTAGTTCCAGCTTCTTGGAAGGCTGAGGTGGAAGGATCACCTGAGCCCTGCAGGTGGAGGCTGCGGTGGCCGGGAGTGTGCCACAGCCCTCCAACCTGGGTGACAGAGTGAGACTCCAACTAAAAAAAAATTCAACTTTCATCCTTTCTAACATCGGTACTATTTGTTTACAGTCACCCAATTTCTACCAGAGGTACAATTTTCTTCCCTGTTCTAAAACCTAGGCAGCATCTTTGATCATTCTTTCTCTCTAATCACCAAAGCCCACAAATTATTTTATTTTTTAATTTAATTTAATTTAACTTTTTGAGTTGAAGTCTCACTCTGTCACCCAGGCTGGAGTACAGTGGCATGCTCATAGCCACCACAGCTTCCACCTGTGGGCTCAGGTGATCCTTCCATTACAGCCTTCCAAGTAGTTGAAACCACAGGCACGTGCCACTACACCTGGCTCATTTTTTTTATTTATTGTAGAGACGATGTCTCACCAAGTTGCCCGGGCTGATCTCGAATCCCTGGACTCAAGCAATTCTCTCACCTCAGCCTCCCAAAATGCTGGGATTACAGACTTGAGCCACCACTCCTGACCTAAATTATGTTATTAACATCTTTCAGATAGCTTTGTCCTTTTCTTTGCATGTTCGTTTTTGCCTCCTTAGTCTCAGAAGTGATGATACCATTTCTAACTTTTCCCTAGTTGTTGTCCTTACTTCCAGCCTGTCCCTTCTTCGTGAGAGTTATCATCCCAAAGCACAGCTCTGCTTATCTCCTTGTCTCTGAAACCTTCATGTAATCCCATCTGCCTTCTCCTGCCACTCATCAGTGTGGCCTGCAATACCCTGTATCAGACCTGTATCTCCAGCTGTGTCACTCACTCCCTGCTTGGTGAAAATGCTGGGACCGTGTCCAGATTCGGCTGAACCCTTTCACTGTGCCTTTTCTCTGACACAGAACCCAGATGTGATCATGTGCTCAGTACTCAATTAGTAAGAGATGCTCAACAAATACTAATCATCTGATTATCATTTCCTAGGATAATACTCTCTTCCTGTTAGTTGTTTCATCAATAGTAATTGAATAAAGAAACTACTTTATCAAAATAATTCTTTTTTCCAAAAACCTGTATAAGATCTTCTGCTTACTTAGCAATTTGAAGAGGCTGCCCAACAGAAAGCACTTAGAAAAATTTTAATTGTTTCTAAGCAGATAAATGAGAAAATCTGATGAATTATCAGAAATAATCTGGAATTTCTTGAGAGTTTTGTTGTTGTTGTTGTTTTTGTTGTTTTTTGTTTGTTTTATTCGGAGTCTCACTCTGTCACCCAGACTGGAGCAGTGGCATGCTTACAGCCACTGTAGCCTCAACCTGCTGGGCTCAGGCAATCCTTCCACCACAGTCTTCCAAGTAGCTGGAACCATGAGCATGTGCCATCAGGCCTGGCTAATTTTTTTATTTATTATAGAGATGAGGTCTTGCCAAGTTGCCCAGAATGGTCTTGAAACCTTGGACTCAGTCTTCTCACCTCCACCTCCCAAAGTGCTGGGAATACAGGCATGAGCCACTGCGCCCAGTCATTTCATTGCATTTTAAAAATCAGGTAAATCACTACCATTTATGATATATTTCCCATACACCAGGCTGTGTATTAGGCACTTGTATTCTCTTATTTAATGCTGCAAACCTCCCGATGAGTCAAGGACTGTGACTCTCCCTGTTTGTACATGAGGAGGCTATGACTCACTGCAGAGGTGGGCTAAGAACCCAGCAGCCCAGCCTGGGACCATGTTCACTGCTGTGCCTCTGAACCATGGAGCATGAGCCCTCTCTGAGTGGGAAACTCTTACCATAACACTCGAAATAGTATGAATAATCATTTATTTAACTCTTGTTTACACCATACACCATCCTAGCCACTTGAAGATTTATGTCCTGTTCATCCCCATTTCACAGTTGAGGAAATGACTCAGAGCTCCAGCAATTGCCTGGTCACAGAGCTAGTAAATTGGGGAACTGAGATTCTTTTTTTTGTTTTTGTTTTTGAATCAGAGTCTCACTCTGTCACCCAGCCTAGATTGCAGTGACATGCCCTACCATGCCCGGCTAATTTTTTTATTTATTGTGGAGATGAGGTCTCGCCAGGTTGCCCAGACTAGTCTCAGACTCTGGACTCAGGCCATCCTCTCACCTTTGCCTCCCAAAGTGTTAGGATTACAGGCGTGAGCCACCACGCCCAGCATGGAGCTGAGATTCTAACTCCAAGGTCTCTGTCACAGTGCCTCTCAATTAGAAAAAAAAATCTAAGCCCCAGGTGAGCATGTGAAGGGAAGTGTCCTTTGCCATTTGCATAATAGTGACATTAGTATGTTTCTGTGGTGCCAGACTGGTAGATCCAGAGAGCATGATATGTGTACTTGGGTTGATTGGTGAGGAAAGAGTGTATTGAGCCATGGGCGAGTTGGCCTGGCACAAAGGACCAGAGAACAAGACTTCACTCACTTCTTGGAACTGCTCCCATTGTAGCCTCTAAAATCAAATGTTTACCTACTGGGAAAGCAGATTTGTGTGGCAATAATATGTTACTTATGTGAAATCCATCTGTTATTGCCAACCCCAGACATTTTACTGGGCCAGAAAGCTGGTTTATTTAAATCATACACCTGGCAAGTTCTTTAGAAATGTAATCGAGGCCTGGTGTGGTGGCTTACGCCTATAATCCCAGTTCTTTGGGAGGCTGAGGCAAGAAGATTGCCTGACTCAGGGGTTTGAGACCAACCTGAGCAACATGGTAAGACCTCATCTCTACAATAAATCAAGAAATTAGCCAGGAGTGGTGGTAGTGCATGCCTGTAGTTTCAGCTACTTAGAAGGCTGAGATGGAAGGATCGCCTGAGCCAGCAGGTTGAGGCTGCGGTGGCCTTGAGCATGCCACTGCACTTCAGCCTGGGCAACAGAGTGAGACTCCAACTCAAAAGAAATGTAGTTGAAAACACTAAGACCAAGCTGGGTGTAGTGGTTCACGCCTATAATCCCCACCCTTGAGAGGCTGAGATGAAAGGATTGCCTGAGCCCACAGGTTCGAGACCAGCCTGGGCAATTTAGCGTGACATCATCTCTACAAAAAATCAAAAAAGTAGCTGGGTGTGGTAGCACGTGCCTGTAGTTCCATCTACTTGGAAGCCCGAGGTGGAAGAATCACCTGAGCCCAGCAGGTCGAGGCTGCGGTGGCCTTGAGCGTGCCACTGCACTCTAGCCTGGGCGACAGAGTAAGACTCTGACTCAGAAAAACAACAGAAAAGAAAACACTAACCAGAGAAATTTCATTTTCAAAGGAAGTTCATGAAAGAGAAGGATTCATAATTCTCTACCCCCGTGCCCAAGTCTGTTAAACTTTCCAATATACCATTTTGCTTTAATTTTGAAAAGTATAACAAATAGGCAGAAGGAAATTCAATGACAGTTATTTGGTTTATGGAATATGAATTTTTATACCTGAAATTTGTCATATTAAAGAACTAGAGTGCTACTAGAATGGTAATACTGCCAGGTTTGGTGGCTCATGCCTGTAATCCCAGCATTTTGGGAGGTAGAGGCAAGAGGATTGCCTGAGCCCAAGTGTTCAAGACCAGCATGAACAACTTGGCAAGACATTATCTCTACAATAAATAAATTTTTTTAAAAAATTAGCCCAGTGTGGTAGTGTGCGCCTGTGGTTCCAGTTACTTGGAAGGCTGAGGTGGAATGATTCCAGTTACTTGGAAGGCTGAGATGGAATGATTGCCCAGCAGGTTGAGGCTATGGTGCCTGGGGGACAGAGTGAGACTCCGATTTAAAAAAAAGAATGGCAATATTATTAACTCTATTCTCTTCAAACAACTACTATTTCTCCTATTTTTATTGCTTTTTTTTCTAGATTAATGATGCTTTGCAGCTATTTTCCGAGTCTTGAAATTTTCTATCTCCGTGGAACCCAAAATTCGCTAGGATGGAGGAGCCTCAGAAAAATAATCTGAACACGACAGACCTTGAGAAAGATGACCCTCTCAAAAGCACTGCCCCTCAGATTTCTGTTAGTGAATTTTCTTGTCACTGCTGCTATGACATCCTGGTTAACCCCACCACCTTGAACTGTGGGCACAGCTTCTGCCGGCACTGCCTCGCTTTATGGTGGGTGTCTTCAAAGAAAACAGAGTGTCCGGAATGCAGAGAAAAATGGGAAGGTTTCCCCAAAGTCAATATTCTCCTCAGGTAATGCTCAGCCCTTGTCGGGAGCTCAGCCAGCTATTGCAATGTGCTTTCTCTGAATGGGAGCAGCAGTGTTTGCAAAGGCCCTAGAATAGGAGCCCACCTCCTTGGTTGTCATTCTGGATTTGCTGGAATATGAGCCTAAAGACCTGAAATCAGACTTTCTCTTAGTAACCATGACTAATTTGTTCATTATTTATTACAAATGACAGAAAGAAAGAAATTCATCATACCACTTCTTCTCATCTCATGTCATATAAAGGCTGAGCATGGTGGCACACACTTTTAATCCCAGTGCTTTGGGAGGCCAAGGTGGGAGGAATGCTTGAGGCCAGGAGTTCAAAACCAGCCTGGGCAGTACAAAATAAAAATGGAAAAATCCTATGTTATACAACACTTTTTTTTCTTAAATCAATTTGTATTTACTTAGAACACCCTAGGTCTAATAGAGAAAATGATATAACTACAATTCTAAGTAACTAGTCTAATGCTATCATAATCTTTAAATCAACTCTGTTCCAGTTATCACATTAATAGTGTTTCTCATATACAGCATCACATAGCTAAAGCTACCTGTCAGATAACTGCTTCTTTTCTGCTTTCTTGCAATCATAATGTACCTGTGAGATCTTTTTAAAATTAATTTTGTATTATTATCATTATTATTGAGATGAGGTTTTGCTATGTTGTCCAGGCTGGTCTCAAACTACTAGGCTCAAGGCAGCCCTCCTGCCTTGGCTTCCCAGCATACTGGGATTACAGACATGAGCCACTACACCCAGCCATCTGTGTGATCTTTGAGGCTTAAATCTTCTCCTCTTCTGTTGCCTTAGCAATTTGTTGTACCCTTCTTCATATCAACAGAGGCTTAGGAGTTCCATGAAACCATGAATCCAGCATTTTCCTTTTTTTTTTTTTTTTTTTTGAGTTGGAGTCTCACTCTGTCGCCCAGACTGGAGTGCAGTGGCCGCTCCTGGCCACCGCAGCCTCGGCCTGGGCTCCAGCGATCCTTCCGCCTCAGCCTTCCGAGTAGCCGGAATTACAGGCGCGCGCTACCACACCCGGCTGGCATTTTCTTTTTTATAGGAGATATATTTACACTTCTCTGTTACCTGCCAGCCTTGCTTTACCTGAAGGTTAATCTTAAATTGAAGGCGGCTTCTCTATGTAAAATTGAAAATGAAGAGCCCTACAGTATAACCTGATGGTTGCTCTTTCTCTTACTACTGAATTTTGCTTTTTTCCATTTTTATAAACTAATTTTAATGTATATTATTTACATTCTTTTTTTTTTAATTGGAATATATAGTTTATTTAGAAAGTAAATTGGAGAGAGTAGAGAGGTAGGGGAGGGAACCAAAGCTTAGGAAAACATGATCTGGCCATAGCTCAAAGAACACACGTCCAGTCCATAACGTAGTAGAGCAATGGAATACATTCTTTTTTAAATATTGGAAAATTACTCAAAAAGCTAAAAGACCCCTTTAAACCTCTCCCCATCTGAGAATACTTCCTTCCCCCCAGAGTAATTTCAGTTATAACTTAGTTGTGATTCCTTTCAGACTTTAAAAAATACTTTGTTTTGGGGTTTTTTTTTTGTTTTTGTTTTATTTTATTTTATTTACTTTTATTTTTGAGTTGGAATCTCACTCTGTCGCCCAGACTGGAGTGCAGTGGCCGCTCCC